GGGCTCAAGCAACAGGAAGCCAGATTTTGACTTAATATCAGGGAAAAAAACTTCTTAAGTGTTAGAGCAGTACAACAATGGAACCAATGACCTCAGGAGGAGGAGAATGCTCTGACAGTGGAGGCATTTGAGAGAAAATTGGACCCCCCTCTGTCTGATTGGCTTTGATATGGATTCCTGCCTTGAGCAGGGGGTTGGACCGATGGTCTTATAGTCCCCTTCCAACTCTGTGATCCTATACATTTTTGGGAACCTGCTCCCTTAGTGTTTGGTGGATGGGGCAAGGGGGGGAATTAAATGTTTGACTTCATTTCTGTTGGCACTCATCGCCTGAGTTTGCCATTAAAAGGGGGTGATGCCATCCTTCCAAGCAACACTGGAAGATGTGGTGGGGATGAGAATCTCAAGAAACGAAGGCCATCCCTTTTGGTACCAAAACAGGACTTATGGTTTTGCAATGTGCGAAGATTTCTTAGGGATTTAACCCCCCCCCCCAAATCTCTCACTCTTCTCTTGAGGACAGTGTCAAAGGTCAGGAGCAGACAGGTGGGAAATATTTGCTTTTTAAGGTATTACTTCTTCACACACACCCACGGTGACTGCTTGTAGGATTCTGGGAGTTGTAGTTTAAAAACCAAGCACATCTCAGGGCTGAAGTCCCACGATGTATCTTGCCAAGGAGCTGTCTTTCTTTCCTCAAATTCTTCCTTCAAAGGCACTCAGTGCTTGCTGTTTCTGGTCAGAAAACCACGGCAGGGATTTTGAAGAGGCAAAGGGAAAGGCCACCAAGTGAAAAGGCAGTGCCTCGTGACAACTGTCATGGGTACGGTTACCTTAGCAACACACCTCCACAGCTTGCAACAGGTCACTTGAGCCAATCAAGGCATAATAGTCAAGATGTTTTCTCCCCAGTGCTGTGATGGCACAGCTACGAAGGACGCTGTTTCTCCATCAAGCCCAGCACTGGGAAAGGACCGTAGGTCACTTACGGGGCATCTCCAGCAGGGAAACACAAGAGATATAAAATCACAACAAGCATAGAGAAAGTGGGAAACTTTTCTCTGTTTCAAAATACCATGACTTAATGGGGTAATCCAGTGAAGCCGAATGATGGGGAAATCAGGTCAGATAAAACAAAGAACTTCTTCATACTGAGCAGCACAGCATTGGTGGAAGATTTCACAAAGGCTGCCAATCTGGAGAGTGTTAGAGAGGAATTAGAGAAACAGGCCCATAATGAGAAGACAAGGTGCAATGGAAAAGACAATAATGCTAGGAAAAGTTGAAGGCAGCAGGAAAGGAGGAGGGCCAAATATAAGAAGGAGTGACTTCAACAAGAAAGCCACAGGCTTGAGTTTACAAGAGCTGAGCAGGGCTGTTGAAGACAGGAGATTCTGGAGATCATTCATTCATAGGTTTGCCATACGTCAGAAGCAACTTGACAGCATATAACAACCATCAGAGACATGCAAGGAGCTTATGGTTCTTAGTGGTTAGAATGGCTATGATCAACTCTAGTAGCTTCTGCATACCAGTTGCTCCCTGGGTAGCTCTCTAGCCATTGTCCAAACTGGCCTGGATGGAATGGTGGACTAGAGAAGACTTTTGTCTCTGTGGGTCAGGTTCTTATCTCCTGTTAAGGGCTGAGGAATCGTCTTTTCTAGTGTTATCCAGCCAGGAGAGATAAGCCAGCCTTCTCTAGCCTTTTGTTGCCTGGATGTGCTACACTACGGCTCTCATCACCCTACCTCTGTCCTCAAAGGGTTCCAACTGGGGCCTCCTGTGACAGTGAACAGTAAATCAAGGAGGGTAAGTATCTGAACAGCCATCAGCCCTGATAGTTAAACAAAGCCTCCATGTTCAGACACAGTATACCTTTGAATATGAGTTGCTCTAGCAAGGCAACAGTGAGCACTTGTGAACTTCCTGGTGATAAATTCCTAAAGACATGGTACTGGAGTAGAAGGGTTTCTATTGTGAGGGCCCCACATACAGATGCTTTTAACAACCTTTCATGGGCATTACATACACTTCTGTGTTGAGAACATGCTTTGCCAGCTGTTTCCTGCCAGCCAAGGCCAGAGATGTTGGGGTAGCCCAGGATTGAAAGAGGGAATTCCCAGCAGGAGCTTCTCTCACCTCCTGGATTATGCAGATTAGCTTGCTTTTACTGAGAATTGGCCTTCTGGATTTAAGCACAGGATTCCTTTGAAGTCAGTTCATGAACTCAGAAAGAGAGCTTCAAACACTGCTTTGCAAGATTCAAGTGCTTCCAAGTTGAATTTCTCTCTCTCTCTCTCTCTCTCTTGATGTTCCATCTCTGGCCAACACACTCTTAAAGGTAGGGCAGCCATCAAGGAAGGAAGGAAGGAAGGAAGGA